AAACCCGGACTGGTGTTCGTAAATTAGATTATTAGTTCTTAGAAATGACTCAAATTGTACATACACGGCCCGCTCTAGAATCTTGGATACAATACATAAAATACTAACTGGTCTGTAATTCCCGACATCTAGCTTACTATTCTTTTTGTGTAGAGGTTTTACTTTAGCAATTTTCATATCATCTCGGACAACCCCCTCTGTTATGAAGAATTCAAATATAAGCTATAGGATTTTAACACATTCAGCACCATCTTTAAGAAATTTTACAGGGATACCATCTAATCCAGTGCTTTTGCTTATATTAAGCCTACATAATTATTTATATACAAACTCCTCACTTACATGATGAAGGTGAAACTCTTTTTGTGATATGTTCCTATAAAAATTCTTAATTGTATCGGATGCCACACTATAAAAATTCTTTGCTGCCGGGAGTTTCTGTACTAAATTAGATGCAATATTTGTAAAGAAGTTATTAAAATGACTTGCAACTCTACATGGATCGTGATAAGTTTCACCATCAATCGACAAAACAATATTCGGACTTTCTTTTTTATTGTTACTGTAACCAAGGGATTTGATATTCTGCCATAGTTTCTTATTGTCGTTCTTATTATCTAATATTTGCCCTTTGAAGTATTCAGATTTGCCAATTTTATAGATCGTTTGTACTTCATTGCGAAGTTTATTGAACAAAATCTTGTCAGAATTATTACGACTTTTTCTATACCTTGCATGTGCTTTCTCTCGCCTATGTATCAGATCCAGAATATTTGAATCTATCCAAGGTTCAGTTTGATTTTTAAGTCTAATTTCCTTAAATGGAGCAATCTTATCTAATAAATCAGTGAACATTTTCTGAAAATTAGTCCATGCGTTATATACATTTAAAGAATAAAAGCAAGAACTCCAGTCTGTTTGAGTCAACTCAGCAATCCAATTTTCTTTAGAGTAATTTTTAAGCGATCGTATATTAACATATCTTTGACAATTAACTGGATTCTTAACAATCTTTCTTGTACAAAAAGTCATAAAATGATCGCTTAACGCAAGAGGAATAACCCCAGACTGAGACACTCGTTCTTTATATTTGAAGAGAATGTGATCTATAAGACTAGAACCCGTATTACTAATTCGTGTCGCTGATTTTATAATTTGCTGAAGATTATATAAACTCAAAATGCTGCAGTATTCTCTGAATATAACATATTTGTTATCAAAAAAGCATATATTCATATCTCCAAGTATATATATATTTCATTTTCGAAAGAAAGTTTAGATAAAATTGATTCTAGAAACTTATTGAAATCGGTTTGTTTAGGGGTCTATATAATGTTCCAACAATAATAGGTTTATTTCGGGGCAAAAGTATCTCAACAAATATACATTCATTTGTGTTGTTTGACAAATCATATCTTACATTAAAAGAAATATCATTTCTAATGTACATACATACCCCACCTCCATTTCTATTGCGATCATTTCTTAGTACAGTATAATTTTGAATGTCAATTTCACCATCATACACACTAGAGTCCAACCAAGTTTCTGATATCGAAAAAATTGCTGCATTGCAGTTATTAGCTATCGTTTTCAGTTCGGACATTTTCGGAATTATGGATCTTACGTTTAAATGAATAAAATGTAGACCTTTGTTACTGAAGCACTTGAATACATTATCCTCGGGCGCCGTCTGTGATGTTTCGTTAAAAACTGACTGTCCTGTGATTTCATCCTGAACAAATTCGTCTTCGAAGAACGAGTCCGAAAAGCAGAAACCCTCACAATGAAAACACGACCAATTATTTCAGGAACGTTGTAGTGCTGAATATAATGTCGGCTCCACCCTAGCACACTTAATGTGCCATCTAGACGCACATTTGTCGCACGTAACTGAACGATGTGTCCTTGCAATTGCCCGTTTGCATGATGTGCACGGGTTGTGGATAGGTCCTGGATTAAGCGCAATATCACCTGCCAGCGCTAAAAGAATCTTCACCGTAGCTGCTAAATTGACCGACGTAAAAGTTCGCCTTGTATGAGTATAATGATATAGAATTTGATGATAATAAGAGATGCTTTCGCTTGTTAACTGATAATTAGCAAATAAAACTTTTTCTGCATTTTCTTCTACAGTGATTTCTGCATTTTTCTTCTACAGTGATTTTTCTGCTCAAATTTTCTGTTCGAATTCATTTTCTAAGTTAGACCATTTTCTTTCATTCTAGATAGTTTTCACAACAAAATTCGACAAAAAATTGTTTTTATGTATCACATTTTTCAAACACAATGGCGCCCTCAATGTGAAAATACACAGGGAGATAATAAGAACGGCGAGTGCATTGTTGTAGAATAATGCACGCTTCGGGCCTTCTTTGTTTATATAGAAACATTTCCGATAGTGTGATTAAAGGTAGTTTGCCTAAAAAAAATCTTTAAAAAAAACGGTGACACGATAAATAGAATAATAGATTGGTGCCGTGGATAAAGAAAGTTTATCTGGCGAGGCGGAGGATTCGGCTCACCCAATAAATCCCTCCGCCTCCTCCATCCACGGCACCGCGAGGCGGAGGAATTTATTGGGTTCGCCTTCGGCTCACCCAATTAATTCCTCCGCCTCGCCAGATAAACTTTCTCAATCCACGGCACCAACCTATTATTCTCTATATCATATTAAATCTAATGTAGAATGATATCTTTATCTCATTTTGAAAAAATAACAACTAAATATTAAGGATATAATTAGATTTTAAAATGAAAGCAGATATGTTGAGTGTGTGTTTAATGTAAATATGCTTTACACAAAAAGGAAAATTAACCGTCGTTTGTGCAAAGCTTATAAAGAAGCGTATATATGTTGCAAAGTTAACAACTACAGTTTTACAATGTGATCAGGTATGTTATCTGATTTCGATTCAAGTTGAATGAAGGAAAAAGCTTTATCATTATAATGTTTAGTATTGTAATTGAGACCAAATGTGAGTAATAACTTTAATTCCCAAAGTTATACGACCCATTTTGGAGATCACCTTATTGAATAAGTACAAGTAAATGTTCTAATATTCGTCATGTAGGTATGGATTACTATTTATCTTACAAATTATCAGGAATTTGATATCAAGCGTTGTATTTAACTTTTGATATGTGAATCACCACTTTTTAGAAAAGTTTCAAGCAATAAGCGATTGTTCTTTCTTGTTATAACAGGTGGATATACACAAGCACGTTAAGGTTGACCGAATTATCTCCCTTACATGTTTGTTAAATATATTTATAAACATTTTTATACATAAGACATTATAACCTAATGCCTTTTATAAATACTTATTCCTTATTTTCAACTGTAATATTGAGCCGCTGAAATCCCTAGTAAGCAGCAGTGGTCAACATTTTTAACTGTTTCACCCCTATCGGGCATTTCTGTTCACGCCGTCCGCCAGCTCGTAGTGGTTTTTAGAAAAACAAACGTCTATTAGATTCAGTTGTAAACAGTTTACAATTAAAACAGTTTTAAAACGTAACAATTATAAACATTTCCAAAAAAATGCTTGGAATCGTCGTTCAACCTAGATCATAGGTGTTCGGCGCGTTGATTGGCCACTACCCATCACCCACTCTACAACCCTCCTACCTCTCAAAATCATGTAAACTGCAATATTTTTCATTTGAAACATGTTTTAATATTTGTGGCATGTTCGAATAACAAATAACATGAAAATAAGTTTCCTGAGTTCCGGTCAGGTTGCACATTTTTCTCACTCTGTGGCATGGGTTAACATTGCATACAGCTATAGTATGCTTTGAAATATTTTGTTTCATTAAAGCATTATTTATTCTTTACGATAGAATATTGACTGTGTGTCCAGGTTATTGCATTTTTGCAAAAGGCTTACAGTTTTATTTACATCATATATACGCATCACAGGTGTACGGTGCATAACCAAGTCAGTAACTAATATCCCCCTCACCAAGACACCTTTACAATAACAAAAAAATATTTATATGAATAAATCATTTAAATAACACATATCATTTACACATCACAAATAAATAAAAAATTTAACGTATTTGTCATCCCTTAACAAACAATATATTAAATAGCAAATCTTTATTCTCATATGCTTGAATCCGCTGTTCCTTTCATTGTTTATTTCCACTTATATTGACATATAGAGGGTGTCAAAAATTCTTATATAAAACTATTTATTGCCTAAAGGTTTAACAACCTGAACCCATTACTCACTGATATCACAGCGTAATAGCGTACAGGTTGACTGCTCGCTTCATGACTGTACAGACGCTTGTTCGTATCCAGGTTTAAAAGAAATTTAAATTTTAAAGATAGTTTTAAACTAAATGGATTTGAAGGCACATTATGCCTCAAAATAAATCTTTTTTTACTTATAAAGAAAGGACAAGCATGCATTTTATAATATTTAAATATTGGTTTTAGAGAAAGTTTGAGGCTTGTTACCTAAAGAAAGTAATGATTAATGTGAAATAATTTGTCATAAAAGTAGCAAAATGTAAACAACGTAGTATATTGACTTCCATACAAAATAATAATTTCAATTTAACTGTACTTATTGCCAAAAAGCAACTGATGAAAAAGATAGTACATGTCATTGACAAATGAGTAACTGAGTAACTTTTGGATACTGTAAAAGTAAACCAAAATTTAAGTTTTAAACAAGAGTTAAAGCCTACTGAATAATAAGCAATGGAAGAAAATAGATATATACAAATTTGCCAAAATATTGAAAATGTGGCACTTGGATATAGAAAAAAATACTATTAAAATATGTTTGATTACTGTTAAAAATATTTTGCTTAAATGTTTTTACTTTTAACTTTCAGCTGTGCAAAACATCGCATATTTGAAAATGAAACTATATCACGATTACGAGTATACGATTATACATAAGAAAAAAGAAAAGAAATTGTAATTAAAAACCTGCACAACCTATATCATAATGGTACGACCGATATCGTGTTCGAATTATATTGAAGAATTTGTTTATATTCGTTTGAAACATGTAGACGGTTTAAATTTTGATTGGATTACAATAAAACTTCCGCGTTCCGACAAAATGGCGATGAAGGGCGTTTGTGTAGGAGAAGTTATCCCGATTTAAATAAAGGAAAATACATTTTTGAGGTATTTATATCTTGTATTTATGAATTTTTCATTAGAAAGTTTTCAAAAGTAATCATGTACTTATAAATAATCTTGCATGAAACTTACACAGATAGTTAATGTATATTGATATCATTGAAAAATAAAAACGAGGTCGAGTCAACATGTTGATACTTGAAAAATTAGAATCCTTATATCTAACAAAACATAAAACTTTATTTGTGCATCTCATATCTTATTGTATTTTGAAGAAAAAAAACAGAAAATATGTATATCTAAATCTATTATATTATTTATCTGATTTTACAATATACAAAACAAAGGAAAATACTAGTAACATACAACCTTATGAATATTTTTTTCAGAAATTTTCTACAATTATGATTGAAAATATGTCTGACAATCATTCAATTTAAAAATGCCTACAAAAGTAGAATTATAATCCTATTCGAATTAATGTCAAATAAATGTTCATGATTTTGTACTTTCGGTTTCTACAACCACGATAATGAACTGTTTACTTTTATATCTATGTAATTTAGATGGACGTTTACTCAATATAATGGATTAAACTTAGTCAACAACTCCAAGTATTATATAAATATTGTTTACATGCATAGGTTAGACCAAAATACCGTATCCGTTCTGTGTAATCTTACTATTGTGTTAACGGTTCTTAGGCCTATAAGAATTGTTTGTTTCCGGTGTCCCTACCTACCCAATTTTTTGGAAACAGGCCGCATATTCATATTTCCGTCGCTTACACTTGATATAAAAAAATATTTTAAAAAATGCCTACCTACCTACCCTATTTTTTAAAACCTTGTCACTGGAATCAAATAATTTTTCGTTAGGCCTCACGGAAATTGGACACACGTTCGGCGCTTTTCTACGGTGGCACAAAGATGACAAGTGATGTATTTATTTACGGTGCATACACCGTGTCTTTCCATATATGGTAATTCCTCGTGTTTTTAGCTCGACTATTCGAAGAATATGAGAGCTATTGTAGTCGCCCCGGCGTCGGCGTCGGCGTCGGCGTCAGCGTCCGCGTCGGCGTCTGCGTTGGTTAAAGTTTTTTGTAAAGTCAAATATCTCAATTATTACTTGAGATATTCAATTGAAACTTACAATACTTATTTATAGTAACAAGGTACATCAGATTCACAAGTTGGATAACTCTGCCTACAATATTGACAGAATTATGCCCCTTTTTTACTAAGAAATTTTGGTTAAAGTTTTTTATAAAGTCAAATATCTCAATTATTGCTTGAGATATTTAATTGAAACTTACAATACTTATTAATAGCAACAAGATACTTCATATTGACAAGTTGGATAACTCTGCCTACAATATTGACAGAATTATGCCCCTTTTTAACTTAGAAATTTGGGTTAAAGTTTTTTGTAAAGTCAAATATCTCGATTATTGCTTGAGATATTCAATTGAAACTTACAATACTTATTTATAGTAACAAGGTTCATCAGATTGACAAGTTGGATAACTCTGCCTACAATATTGAAAGAATTATGCCCCTTTGGAACTTAGAAATTTTGGTTAAAGTTTTTTTGTAAAGTCAAATATCTCAATTATTGCTTGAGATATTCAATTGAAATTTAAAATACTTTTTATAGTAACAATGTACATCAGTTTGCAAAATTGCATAACTCTGCCTGCAATATTTGTAGAATTATTTGCCCCTTTGAAACTTAGAAATTTTGGTTAAAGGTTACAGGTCTTCAAAAATATTTACTTCAAACTTTACACATGCACTTAGGGTCATAATTGGAGGGTCATAATTGTATGTCACTAACCAAGTTCCATAACTCTATCTTGCATTAAGGCTGGTTCATATCCTCTTTTCTACTTAGTCTCTTGGTTAATGTTCACATGCAAGTTTTACATATCTCAATAACTATTAAAGATATTTATTTAAAATTTCACATATGCATTTAGGGTCATAATTGTAGGTCACTGACAAAGATCCATTATTCTATCTTGCATTTAGGCTGATTTTTCTTCCCTTTTTCAACTTAGAAATTCATGGTAAAGTTTTGCTTGTAAGCTGTTATCTCAATAACTACTGAAGGGTTTGTGCCTTTTTTGGGACAATTTTATGCATCCATAATAATAAAGCAGTGATTTACTTGATAAAAAATCTTAATAAGAAGCCTTTGTACCTTTTCTGTCAAATTTATGTATTCATAGGTAATTAGTATTATTTTACTCAATAAAACACCCTTTTGACATTACCTTCCGAATAGTCAAGCCAATACTGTATAATTAGACTCTCTCTAAGGCCAGTATTACATGAATTTATAAAAAAAATTAGCCCTTTTGTGAACTTAAAAAATTTAACATTATCAAGGCTCTTTTACTATCAAGCACTTAGAATAGTCGAGCGTGCTGTCCTACTGACAGCTCTTGTTAATGGTTATAGTTTTGGCGCTAATTATGCACGATTTTACGTGTAAGTTGATAAAATATAGTCATTCGAGGCATTACGTTCACGCCGTCCATTTGTGAAATTTCTTTAAATATAATTTTCATATATTACAAAATATCATGGATAAATTTATGTATTTAACATTGCCTTAAACAGATTTTTGTGCCCCCACGTTAGTGGCGGGCATTTAGATTTACCCTTGTCCGTCCGTCCGTCCGTCCGTCCTTCCGTCAGTCCTTCCATCCGGCGTCCGTTCACTTTTGTGTCGCACGTAACTCAAAAAGTATTTGACCTAGAGTCATGAAACTTTACAGGAATGTTGATCAGCATGTGTAGTTGTGCACTTGGGTATTTTCGTCTGGATATTTTTAGTATTTTCAGAGTTATTGCCCTTGAGTTAGTAAAATTTTGCAATTTTCAACTTGTGTCGCACGTAACTCAAAAAGTATTTGACCTAGAGTCATGAAACTTTACAGGAATGTTGATCAGCATGTGTAGTTGTGCACCTGGGTATTTTCGTCTGGATATTTATAGTATTTTTAGAGTTATTGCCCTTGAGTTAGTAAAATTTTGCAATTTTCAACATGTGTCGCACGTAACTCAAAAAGTATTTGACCTAGAGTCATGAAACTTTACAAGTATGTTGATCAGCATGTGTAGTTGTGCACCTGGATATTTTCGTCTGGATATTTTTAGTATTTTCAGAGTTATTGCCCTTGAGTTAGTAAAATTTTGCAATTTTCAACATGTGTCACACGTAACTCAAAAAGTATTTGACCTAGAGTCATGTAACTTTACAGGAATATTGATCAGCATGTGCAGTTGTGTACCAGGTATTTTCGTCTGGATTTATTTAGTATTTTTAGAGTTATTGCCCTTCACTTAGAAAATTTTTGCAATTTTCAACTTAAGTCGCAAGTTTCTCAAAAAGGATTTGACATAGTCATTAAACCTTATGGGCAGGTTGCTCAGCATATTTTAGATTTGCACCTGGGGTTTCGCTTGTGGATTTATCCAGCATTTGTAGAGTTATTTCCCTTGACTTAGTAAAAAGATTGACAGAACAGTGGCGCGGTGGGGGCACCCATGTCCTATGGACACATTTCTAGTTGATATCTTGTTTTATCTATTTCAGATTCTCCGTCTTCATTTTTAACATTGATGTAAAAATTAAAAAAAAAAATGAAAGAAAGGGAAGATATCAATGCCATGTTTTGATTTAATCTGAAAGTAATGCATTTCATAAAATTAATGGTTTTTTTATTAGACTCAAAATTGGGGATATGTCAGATAGGCGATTGAAGAAGCCGCTGATCTAGAGCTTTGGAGCTTCCTACCTCCCCCTCCCAAGACGGAGTAGGGTTGGGTAGCCCGCTCGCAGCATTTCTGACTTTGGCTTTTTCCAATTATTTTATATTTGATTAATTCTACCTGCGATTGATTAATTGATTGATTGACACGAGATAGCTATGTCGTGGCCGCGAGATAAATAACCAATCAGATTACACCATTTATATGAATTTCCCTAATTAACTAGACATGTGCTATAGTACAAGGATGTCCCTTCTTCACCAGCCTGTAAAAGTGCCATTTATACAATTTATTGACTGGTCAATAATTTTACATTTAGCGTCACTATGACCCTGATCATTTACCCAATGACCTAGAAATTATTAGATCAGGGGCAATGATCTTCCTGGGTTATACAAACCATGGCTTATCCCTTTTGAATTATTCATCAGACAAGGATTTACCTTATAGGCTATCTACTGTCCATAGGCAATGTCCCTTCCAAATAAAATAAATCAGGACTTATTCCTTCTCAGGTTATCGTATAAACAAGGTTAACAGTACGTACAAACTGACCAATTCGATCACAAAATTGTCCCAACAAAGAGCTATAGTCAAAATTAATGTCTAATGGGACTTGGAAGGTGACTTTCTAATATGATCATAAAGACAAGTTGCATGTAAAAGTAAGTTATTAAGTTTGAAAAATTCATAATATATATATAGTGTATTCTGATTGGTTAATTATCTCGTGGCCACGACTTATCTATCTCGTTCCCACGACTTATTATCTCGTGGCCACGACTTAGCTATCTCGTGGCCACGACATAGTTACTCGTGGCCACGACATAGTAACTCCTAGCCACGACATATATCTCGTGGCGTCGAGATAAATAAAAACACACACATGTCACCTTTGTGCCACCGTACTTTTCTGTTCAATAGTCGTGTTAAAAGTTTGTTTAATTTTGGAATTTGAATGTTTCTCAAATAAATTATGACAAACATGGTCTTTTAGGTTGAGATTTACATTTTCTTCGTTAGCATTACATGATAATGTAATAGTGTAAAAATAACTTCACTCTACTTTATGAATGTAAATGTCTGGCGAGGTTTACAAATAAATACATACGTATGTAAAACATATATCGCTCATTTTACTTATTCTAATAATATAAACTTTGTAATATATAAATAGAGGATACTCAAGATGTTTTTATGCCCCCGCCATGTAATGGCCGGGGCATATAGTGTTACCCTGTTCCGTCATTCCGTCCTTCCGTCCTTCCGTCCTTCCGTCATTCTGTCATTCCGTCATCATCAGTTTCCGTTCATTATCTTAAGAACGGTTGCACACATTCAATTTCGCGAAATGAACTTTTCGTCTACGAAATGGACATTTGTTTCTTAAATTTTGGTTTAAGTGTACTATTTAATATCATTTTTAATAACGAACAAGTGATATATTAAAGTACTATTTAAACAATTTTTGGTATTTTTTTCATTATTTATGCTTGTACATTTGAATATATTCGTATAATAATGCCACAAATTTCAGTGTTTTATATATGGTCTTTCAAATAGAAAAGATACCCTTTCATGTCAGTTACACCATAATGTGTAAAGCAAATGTCCATTCCGTAAGCGAAAACTCCATTTCGTGGCCGAAAACTTCATTTTGTAGAGGTCAGATTATTTTCAGAAATATGACTATTATTTAAAATAGGAAAATAGTAATATTAAATGGTACAATCTGTAGTTTATGTCATATGTTAAACATAAATTAATAAAAATAATATTACTCATCAGGGTTAAACAAACAAATGTCCATTTCGTAGGCGGTAAGTTCATTTCGCGAAATCGAGTCCATTTCGCATTCTATTACAACCCGTGAAAATACGACAATAAAAAAAATGAAAATACGCATTTTATTTCATATATATTTCTCAATACTTCATTTATAAGTATGTAATAAAATAGTGTGAAGAATGTGTTTTTTGTTTCGCGTTGATCATTTTTGCTAAGGAATATTACAATGAAATACAAATTTAATAAACGTTTTGATTATGATTACGGACACAATGTATTGTCACTTTTTTTCCCTTTTTTCGGCTAATTACCTTAAATCTTCGCGTTTATTGTTATTTCTAATGTTTGAAATTAAGAAATACGAATCAATTGTAAATCCATGTATGTGTTATTAGGTTTATATTTATTGATTGGATTAAAAATGGTATGGAATTGACATACTACTTGACAACTCAGGGCAATAAATAAAGACCTATTAATCTTAAAATAAGAAATAAGATCATTGTATTTTGTATAATTTGTTTCTTTGTTGTTAAAAGTTGACGCTTGCATCCATTATGGTGCTTACATTCATATTATTTTGAACTGTCATTAATAAATAAATTTCAGAACGAAACAACAATGGAAGTTCCTGGTAAACAAAAACCAAAAAAGACATTTTCTGTTTCACGGGGCTCTGCTGAGGACTTTCTTTTGTTCTGTATCCCGTGTGATAGAGATGGTGTCCGGGTACCAGCAAAAGGTTATTGTTCAACCTGCAAAGAACATCTTTGTGACACTTGTTACAAGCATCACAAGAAACAAACTCCATCACGTCATCATATTCTACTAGATCAAGACTCTATGCCAACTACACCAAGCGTTCCAATCGTAAAAGACGAATTTGATAGTTGTGATGATCATGAAGACGAAAAACTGAAATTCTACTGCAAAGATCATGACATCGTTGTTTGCAGTGTTTGTGTAACGCTGAATTATAGGTTATGTAATGTGGAATACATACCGAAACTCTCGAAGCATATTCTAGACAGTGAAGAACTTAATGAAATAATGGCAGAAATGAAAGCACTGGAGGATAATTATAAATCACAGATAAAGAGAGTAAAAGATGAGATGAAAGCTATTTCTAAAAACCACGATGACGTAGTAAAGGCGATTCGTCAATTCAGAAAAGAAATAAATACACGTCTAGAAGAAATGGAGAAACATGTTGTTAAAGAAGCTGACAACATACTTCTTAAACAACAAACGAATCTAAATGATTTATCAACAGGTGTACAAGAAATCACAGATAAACTGACTGAAAAACGAAAACGCATTGATAACCTGGTACAAAGAAATTGCCTTGATAAGCTGTTTGTTGAAATGAAAGAAACAAAGAAACAAGTTGAAGAAATGAGGATGAAGCAAAAACAAGGTAGTCGAGTAGATGTTTTCCAGACTGTATCATTTGTCAAAAACAGTGATATTGTCGATATGTTAGATAGACACAAGCAACTGGGAGAACTTATTACAAGGAAAACATCCATGGGTGGATATGTTTCAGTGATGAAACCTACGTCAACACCGTCTGAGGATAAGATGCTAAATCTTGAGGTTGTTGAAGATATAGATTTGAATTCTGCATCATCGGGAAATACAAAATGTAACATAACCGGGATAGAAGTCATCAAGCCCGACAAGATAGTTGTTTGTGATCACAGCGATAATAAAAGTGTAAAATGTTATGATACAGTTCAGAAGAAATTTTTATCAGAGATAAAATTAACTAAGTCACCGTTTGATGTTGCATCTATAACGAATGATAAGTTCGTCGTTACTGTTCCTGATGACAGAAGTATTCATTTCATGTCGCTTAGAAATCAACACATAGTTTCTAATCGTAAGGTAAATATCAACGAGAAATGTTATGGTATTGCTAACAGCCAAGACAAGCTTGTTGTGTCATGTAATTATAATCCAGCTAAACTTTTAGTTCTTGACCAACAAGGTAAAATATTGCAAAATTTTAGTGAAGATAATAGTCCGCTCCGTTTAGCCCTGTATGTCACCGTGAATACAGCCGGAACGTCTATATATGTTAGTGACCGTGGTTTTACTGTGATGGCTGTCAAACAACTAGACTGGCAGGGAAACATTATAAGTACCTATCAACCAGCACAGGGAGGATCAGCTTTAGGTATTTGTGAATTAGATAATGGCACATTTCTTGTGTGTATGAATCAAGATAGTGAAGACAATTTGCGGAGAATATCAGACAGCTGTAAGCCGTGTAAGATAACGATAAACCAGAAACTTGATAGTTGGTATCCGGCAGCTGTGGCATACTGTAAAAAATCGAGAAGACTTTATGTGTCTTATTCTGAAACAGGGCCTTATGATTCAAAACATCGAATAAAAATCTTTAAGGTTGACTGGTGTTAAGTTACATCATGATGAACATTATACATTTAGTTTGAACTTATACATGTTTCGATGTAACAGTTGAAAAGACATTATAGAGTTATTGTTCAAAATGATGTTTATATGATAATGTCTTTTGAAATCAAAATGGTTGGCTCGAAAATATTCTGTCAATATTTTTTGTTAATTATGTACATTTATTTTAAGAATGATTTCAATACATACTAAGTCTTTAATAAAATGTTAAAGACAGTCTGTAAATAATTTATTTCAGTCGAATAGAAATTTTACTTATGATGAAATCCTGACCCAATTCTCTTTAGTGATTGATTTAAATTCCAGAAGAGTTATATTTAATTTATATATTGAATTATCACACACCCGTGTCGATTTTGCGACTCCGTAAATATGGTATTGCACGGCCGTGCATATATTTTGACGTGACGTCATTAGCGTTATACAAACATAGTGTAAAGAAGCGCTAAATGTTAGCGTTATACTATAGGCGCGTCAATGAAATATGACTCTTATTTTACCTTAAACGGTTTTTATTTTTGGTATGTGATAAATAGAATATTAAATTCGTATAAGTTCATTACTGAATTTATTGCACTCGTTGAATAAAATAATATTATGCTCGCCAGAGGCTCGCATAATATAATTTTATTCAACTCGTGCAATAAATTCTGTATTAACTTTACACTCATTCAATATCCTCTATATAATAAAATGTTTCCCATTTCATTTTCTTTTCTTCGTTTTTACTTTACTGTATATATTCCCTTATGTTGACATACGTTAACTTAAACGTAATTTATTAAAAAAAAATAGTTTTCGTCAGTAAGAAAAAGTCTTCTTAATATCCAAGGGTATATACTGTAGTGACTGAACAGATTGAAGACAATATAAGTTCATGTTTTGCCATAACTCCTTTCAATTATATAATTTTCTTCACATGAACGATAAATAACTTCACTTTCAATTTACAAAAAGAGTGGAACAATCATTTGTTATTTTAAGCAGATTTATATTTTATACTTACCATTTTCTACATCAACTGTTGATCATCATTGTAAAAGTCAATCTTTATATATATATAGACAAGTCAGTTCAACTTGCCAATGAAAAAAAGAGAATAAAATCAGTTTAAATTGCAACAGTTTACATCCAAGAAAGGATATTACGTAATATAATAAAGAGTTACAATTCCATGAAGCATTATTTTCCACTATTTACTAATTTCACACATTATTATCATCTCAAGCTATCAATGCTTAAACATCACTGAAAAATGATATGACTTATTGGATAATGAACATTGTTATTTAAAAGTTGAAAGAAGTCAGATGTGTTAGACCTAAAGGGAATTAGATTATAGTGTCGTTTGCTATGTCCTAAATTGCTGCCTATCCATAATGCGTCCTATTAGGCAACCGTCCGGTTAGCTCAATAGGTAGAGTATTGGGCTGTGAATCGGCGGACCCTGTATCGATGCCCGGACAATGCATGTAACTTTCGTTGTGATAGATTATGAAATCTTTTCTACCGTCTGTGGCGCCGTTATATGTCGCAACGCCGCTAAATGTCGCACTTGCCGCTTAATGTCGCACCATTGCCGCTAAATGTCGCAACCACCGACATTTACCGTTGGTTACGACATTTAGCGGCAATGGTACGACATTTAGCGGCAATGGTGCGACATTTAACGGTAAGTGCGACATTTAGCGGTGTTGCGACACATAACGGCGCCACACCGTCATTCGCACTATACCTTTGCTTTGGCTTTTTCCGTTATTTACAAAAGTAAAGACAATTTGTATTTGTTAACTGCTTGACAGCCTGCCCATGAACGATGCCGTAGTTTATCTGTGCTCTGGTGATTTCAAACTTGCTAACTGCCGTGATGCAGAGGGTAAACTACCATACCAGCAACGTGTAACGTACAAACAATTTTGCGGTGAGAGAAGGAAACTTTTAAGCTATTTTTATTTCAATTATATTATCATTTAAAAAGTTTCGGTTATATAAATAAAGTCAATAGGTCCATAATCGAAGGTCTGTAATTCCATGAATAATTGTGTTGATAGTTTCAAGTATAAGACATGACAACAGACCACGAAATAATTATATATGTATGTTGTTGATGAGTGGGGGATCTGACAAATCTATCAATATCTATATTTATAACAATAATAAATTAATAAATATTGTAATTCATCATATAATAATGTTCATTCTAAATCATATAGAGCTCTGTCAACATTCAAGAATTTTTTTTATAAGAATATCAAAAAATAAATTTTTATCTTTTCTAGCGTTATTGGAGATACTGATGGAAATTGTGCCCATTGTAGACCATACCCCTGTTCATCATATCAGCTCGCACGTACACAACTTTTGTATAAAGAAATAAAAAATTAATCAATGGTAAAACAAATTTATCATTTCATTAATATGTGCAACTGTTACATATGTGATAAAGCTTCAATTTTAAAGAGAAAAAAAAAACAAAGTGAAAACAAAAGGACAAAATATGAAAAGAAAACCGATCAATTTAGTTAGTGTCCTTATTTTCTTTTTATTTTATTTTACTTTAATATGTTCGTGACGTTAACCTGACAGCCGTAACAGCCGGAACACTTTTGCCTAGTCCGATTGTTCTGGTTGTAGCTAGTCCGATTGTTCTAGCCCGAGATAATACAGAAATTACTGTTCAAAAAGACCATTGGTTTATTTTATTATTTAATTTGATATAAGTTTAACACTCCATCTCCGATCAGGTTTAACTTTATTATCTCTGCTTACCCGGATCACCCGGAACAGCTCGAACAATTGGACAAGACAGAAAACTGATGAGTCACCAAACGGTGCGTTGTCGCGATGTCACCCTGTCGTTGATATTTTATATTTTATAGCGTTTGAATTTATATTTCATTATTTTGCATACTTTTGATAATTTTTTGATAAACTATAACGAATGTAGGTACGAAAAGTTAAAAATAAAACAGAAAGAGAAAAATGACGTTAGATTTTAATGTAATGGTCGATAATTACATTTGAATTTGGACACTACGTCATGTGATTTTAATCACTGTGAGGAGTTTGCGACAGGACGACAAGACGAAAGTCCGACAACGCGCCGTTTGGCGCTTTGTCATGTGTTGCTAGCGCCTACACGACGCACAAAAGCGTTCCAAATCAGCCACCATGTATCAGATATATTATCTGATTTCAATATTAGTTGTATGAAGGCAAAAACTTTATCATTATAATGTTTAACATTTTAACAAAACAGAACACAAGACAATACCTTTTTAACTCTAGTTAAATGTAGCAACACGATGATATTCAATGTATAGTAAATCAAGTGACATGGCAACTGGGCATCTGAAGAAGTACTATCACTATTTATATTATTTAGACATCTTATTATTAAAAGGAGTGCTTGATTTATATATATGTTGGTAATTGTTCATCAACATTTGTCAATATTGAAACGCATTATAGAGGTGTGGGCGGATCTATGATGTTTAAACATATAATGGAGATTATATGTGAGAATAATCTTTAGTTCCCAAAGATATGCGATCCCTTTTTGGAGACCACATTCTTTGAATTTGTACAAGAAATGTTCTAATATGTCTCATGGAGGAATGGATTACAATTTATCTTTAAAATTATCAGAAATTTGACATCTAGCGTTGTATGTTGATAAGTAAAACACAACTTTAAGAAAACGGTCAACCAATTAGAGATTGTTCTCTATTTAAAGTCAAACATTAGTTATACACAATACGTTAATGAACCTACGATAAGGTTGACCGTATTATCTCCCTTACATATTTATTATATACCATAACTATATGCATAATAATTTCCACTGTTATTTTATAAAACAAGGATCGGACTAATCAGTACTTATATTATAAAATCTTACATAGCACCATATTACTACGTACATCACATACCGTAAAAAGCTTTACAGATAATGCGACAATTTACCTTTATCCCTAACAGTCATTTAGTCAATTTTCTATATCAAGTTATTATCATCACATAGTGTTTGCATTCTATCATTCAAAATAAACATATTCAGTATGAATATCTAGACTTAAAGAAAAGTATTTAACAAACAGATGAACATAGTTATCTTTAATGTTGGGCAAGTGAAACAGGGACATCATTCAAATTATGAAACGTACTTATTATGTTATAAAATTAAAGTGCCATGCTATGTTTTCTATAATCTGATTTCAATAAACAAAAAATTGACTAGTATCTTAAATAGAATAGGACACATTTTGTAATTTAAACTCCGCGACTTATATTTTGTATACATGTATATTAATTTGTACAATTTATGTGACGGTTTACAGTAGAAGTGTTGAATAAAGTGTTAAAATCAGTTAAATATAGAAACAACCTTATTTGATACTGTTTGATATTTATAATTAAAGTTTATGGCACAGTTCGGTGTAATGAAATCATCGCTTGACCACGTGTTGTAACGCATTATCTCATAATTAAACATTAAAACTGTTGCTTGGTTAAGGAATAACTTCTGTCAGTTTCATAAAAATCTTATTTTCGGTGATTTTAGCATTTCTGTATGTTTAATTCAAACCTTGGACACTTTTTGTATCGATACTTACATTATCTGATTCACTAGTTAATGATTGACTGCCTGGTTTAATATATATGAGCCGCGTCACGACAAAACCAACGTAATGCGTTTGCGACCAGCATTGATCCAGACCAACCTGCGCGTCCGCGCAGTCTGATCAGAATCCATGCTCTTCGCTATCAGTTTCTCTATTTGTAATAGAGTTTGTAAGCGAACAGCATGGATCCTGATCAGACTGCGCAGACGCACAGGCTTGTCTGGATCCATGCTGGTCGCAAACGCATTATGTTGGTTTTGTCGTGACGCGGCTTATATCCATACGAAAGACCTTGCCAAGGTCTTTTTCTTATACCTTCTTGTACTCTAAGTAATTTTGTCAATATTTTATTTGTCTGACTTTCATTTCAAGAGCTACATGTTTATATATAATTATATAGTATTGTTTATACTACACACAGTGAACAGCTTTTTTATTCTACAGCAGTGATATGTTGCAATGAATTGATATCAGTACGTCTTAAGGATTGCATTTATGAATTAACGTAGGATACACGTATCGCAGGCGAATGGTGCGTTTCAAGGTCAGTTACTAGTATCCCTCTCCCCAAGACCCCTCTACAACAACAAAAATTGTTCATATGAATAAATCATTTAATAACATATATCATTTACACATCACAAATCAATATTATAAAAAAAATAACGTATCTGTCATCCGTAAAATAAACAACATATTACAACAGCGTGATCAACGGATAGACAAGAGCAAATCTTTATTCAAATACATTTACCTTTCTAACAGTATATTAACGGAGGTATTTTACTCGAATCCGCTGTTTCTTTCATTGTACAGTTTCACCAAGATTGACATATACAGAGTTTCGATAATTCTTATATAAAACCTAAACCTTTTACAAATTGAACCATTACCTATTACTACCTGATACCCATTCACTACATCATAGCGTACAGGTTGACTGCTCGTTTCATGACTGCACATACGCTTGTTCGAATCCTAGAATGGCACTTTGTTTTAAAGAAACTTAAATCTAAAAGACACATTGGATTTAAGTTCCTCGTGAATTTACACACAAACCAAATTATTTGAAACATTAAAGAC